AGTTTACTGCCTAGTTTTAATTGTGACGTTTTAATTACTAACATTTTAAAAGATGACATCTTAAGCCTCCTTCTAGCTAAATTATCCTAACTAGAATTATTTTCATATAAAAATATTTTATAACTATTCGAATGCATGTCAACAGATGGCTAAATTATTTAGTTAATGTGTGGGCAACGTGACATTTTCTCAGTCAGGACAACATGCCGCGACAAGAGCGGCGTCAGAGGCACGTAACAAGTAGATCCTGGGACTAGAAGCATGTAGGGATTGAGCATTAGTCTCTTAACTCTTTTAGACAGTTGACACAAAATACTTTCTCTTTATTATTAAAAATCATTACTAAGTATGCAAATGTATTGGTCACAGTTATAAGAACAATAGTAATCAACCAACAGGCAATTAGTACCACTCTCTGCAATGTAATAGTAGCAGTAAGTCATATACAAAATTTTGCTGAGAAATTTTCAGGAGGGAGTTTAAAATTACTTTTACACCAAGTCATAGTTAAGAATACTTATAGGAATACTTATTAAAATTTATACTTCTATTTTGCACTTGTCTTTTTTTTTTTAATGTTTATTTATTTTTGAAAGAGAGAGAGCATGAGCAGGGGAGGAGCAGAGAGAAAGGGAGGCGGGATTCTAAGTGGGCTCTGCACACACAATGTAGAGCCCGATGTGGGGCTTGAGCTCACGAACTGTCAGATACTTAACCGACTGAGCCACCAAGGCGACCATGCTCTTGTCCTTTCCAAGCATTGTTTACTTTTGTTTTACACGCAGAATTGGAGAGAACTGGCCCAGGGTAAAGATTAATAGTATATTCACGAAACCCCAAATAAAGACCTCTCCAAACTGGCCCGGTTCTTAAACAGGTTCCCTTCATCAAGGAACAAGAATAATCCACTTTATCTCCTGCAACATGAGGGCCCAGATGGTGCCCAGATGAGAAACACACGGAAATACTAAAAATAAACTCAAGGTGATTCAAAGGGGTGAATGTTTTTGTTTTTAATATCATAAGTACATTTTCTTTTAAAACTCTGCAGTTGAGCCTTACATAACTTACAAGTTACAGAAAGCTTCAGCATAATAAAATAACTATAAAAATAATCTTACAATAGAAATTTGTAACAGTACTGCAAAGTCTGCTGGTTGCATTTGAGAAAAACTTCCCCTTTTAAAGAAGATTGCAAATAACAATGCAAAAAAAGGTCAATCAGTAGTTTCTTGATTAAGCAAAATAAAGAGTATGTCAGCAATCGTACACAGTCTGTTCTTACAGAATTCAGTGCTGCCTCTAAAGGATTTTATTGCAGGGGCGCCTAGGGGGCTCAGTCGGTTAAGCGTCTGACCGGCTCAGGGCATGATCTTGTGGTTCATGAGTTTGAGCCCCGCATCGGGCTCTATGCTGACAGCTGGGGCCTGGAGCCTGCTTCAGATTCTGTCTCCCTCTTTCTCTGACTCTCCCCCACTCATGCTCTGTCTCTGTCTCTCTCAATAATGAATAAACATTAATAAATAAAATAAATGAACACTAAAATACATAAAGTATTTTATTGCACAGAGTTTGGGCCTCCGCAGAGTCCATTAGGCCCGGGGCCTGCCCTGCTCTCACCTGGCTCGCCGGCCCCCTTCAGTGTCTGGAAACCAGACAGAGAGTAAACTGTTTGCTACGCACGTGGACATCAAGTCTCCCAAAATGTTGGATTCTTCTAACCTGACATCTAAATAGGCAGTTACGTTTTGGAAATCATGTGCACTGACATGGCATTACTCTTATAGGGCTTTAAAGAGTTCAAACAAGAAATGTTAAGCTCAGAATCTTTGTGTTTCCTACGGACAACATAACTATCATTTACATGAATTATATCTGACTAAAAATCCATGGTCAAAATCTTTCTCACGACTTAATTCTTTGTGGTCAAGCGATAATGCTTATAAAAATCTACTCTGTCACAATTTTTCAAATTAGTACAAAATTTTCCATATTCCAATAGAAGCTGCGGATCAAAGGACGTCTTTAATAAATGTGTCACATCACCGCAGGCACTGGAGTCTAACGCTACAGTTTAATGACGCCTGCGGCACACCAGCAGTACCTTCCAGGCAGCACAGTGAAAAAGCAAAAAACTCACAGGACATTTCCGAAGCAAAAATATCACCCAATCAATCCTTGTCTATGGGATCCAATGTGATTTTCAATTTACAATTAAAACGGAAACCGTCACCGATAAATTGGTGAAATAAGGGAAAGCGGCTCGTCTGCAGGTAAGGCCGGGTCCGCCTGGCCCTTTCATTTCTCGGTTCACTGTAAGTGACGGGGTGCGGCTGGGGGGAGGCACAGGAGCGAATGAGAGCATCCTAAGGGTCAGGGTGTCCTTGTGAGAGGCAGTGAGAGAGCGTGAAAACTTTCACAGCTTGGAGTCTGGTTGTTAAATACAGCCTCTATCCTGGGCTTATGAGCTTTTCGGCTGGTAAATCCAAACCCTGGTCTACACTAGGATAATATTCATGACAATCCTGCACGTTTCATCTGCTTAAAATCAAAGACTCCGTCCTAAAGGGTTAATAGAGGAATTACAAAGTAACTCTCTAGTTTGCATTTCCCATAATACTAAAATAAAGCTGCTTCTTTTAGTCTCGAAATTTGCTTTTTTAATACTGTGAAAAGCCTCCATGAATCTGTTTAGCGTATTTACTTCTTTTCATCTATTCAGCGCCACCGGGCAGAACACGGAGTGCGGTGCGTGTTGATGCGTCGCACCGCCCCGCATGACTCACTGTACCCTAATGCACTCCCTTAATCCTGTTTGGACAGCTGGGCCCCGGCATTTGTTAGCTGCATTCTAATTGCCCATCTTTCTTTTACTTCTTGTTATTTATCTCTATGGCAAACGACTCAGGAATTTAATTTGTTGATCTTCAAAAAGCAAATTTTGCCATTAATTTGTTTTCTTTGTATTAAAAGTATACTCGGCATGGAATGCGCTTCCATAAAATCGGTATATATCACTGTTAACAATCTTAAGTAACAGACTAGTCTAAGTGAGTTTCGTAACGGACTAAATGGTAGGCTGGCTATAATATCAGAGAAATTATTTGTGGGACCGTCACAACACAAACGATACCACTCAGTCACAAACGAAGTTACTAATGGGCACACTTCTGGCATTTTCAAGATTAGCAGATGCCAAAACAATAACTAGTCCTACAAAGCAAACACAAAGGAAGTAAGACCGCTGAGGAAATAAGCTTTGTATTCCTATCTGCGACAGTGGTCCGTTTACATTTATACTTAGATTTCACTTTTTACTAAAACATGACATTCTCTGTAAGAATGATATAGGTAACTACAAAGCCTATATTTTCTTTGCACAGCCCGCCTCCCTGATTGGCAGTGAGTCTTGCATAAATAATAGAGGCAAAATAAGAGGTAAACAAAAGCAACTCAAAGCTACTAGCAATTGTGGTTAGCACCAAGGTGCTGAGGTTGAAGGATGGGATTCTTCTAATCATTTGTGAACACTCCTAAGCTGAAACCTAAGTCCAGAAGACCAAACAGAACTAACGGAAATTTCTGTTTGAAATAACATTCAGCCAAGAAGTGAGATCACAGCCTCAACAGTGCTTTATAAAAGGTAAGAAGGCCAAATGAAGGTCTGTTCCACTTTTCAATGACTAAGTAGAAATGTATTACTTCTAAAAGGTGATCAAAATTCCCATAAATTCAGAAGCTAAGAAAACTATATAAATGACAGGCAAGTAAGAAACTGAAAAACCAACAGATGTCCTTGAAATCAGCATATGCTCTCAAAGACCTCACTGCTTTCAAATCTATCTCATGGACACAAAACAGCTTCAAATAAGTTTTACAACTTTCAATTTTTTAAACCACATGCTAAACTAAAGTTTAAAAAAAATTTTCGTATAAGAAAAATTAGTTTAATATTTCTAGATATTCAACATTTTTTTTTAATATAGTTTTCATAGTTTCCTCACTGATGAGGGACCATAAGGTGAGCTGAGGGCAAAGTACATATCATCCCCCCCCCCCCCCCCCCCCCCCCCCCCCCCCCCGGGATGTGTGTGATTCCTCGGGCACTGCTGCCCAAGGACAAAGGAAAGACAAAAATGGTTAACTGATAGAGCTCACAGTCCTAGAGGACACGAATCTCCTCTCCGTCAGTTTACAAATCTTAGTAAATTACCAAAAAAAAAAAAAAAGGCAATCTTATCAATAACCTAATCCCCAGAAACCTGTGGACTCAGTTTCCAGAGTCCCCAACATCACCGTCCCCTCCATATAGTGATGTGGGAACAAAGGCAGGAAGGAAATGGCAGGTAAAATGAAATTTCCTTATAACCTGCAGCCCACGGACAGACACTCGAGGCGGATACAGAGTATGTTTCTCGAGGAACGCCCTACCACCAGGGTGTTAATACCTTACCAGAGGGAAGCAACCTTAGCGAAGTCCCCTTAGCGCGTGGAAATCCCTTTGGAAACCTGCCATTTACCTCTACCCCCCCAACTCCATAATAAATAACCGGTCACTCTGCACACCCCCGGGAAGCATTTTCTGCCCTCAGGTCCTGTCCCCATGCTTAATGATCACCTTTTTGCACCAAATATGTCTTTAAGAATTCTTTCTTGGCTATCAGCTCCAAACCCCATCATCACCCCAAAACCTCCTCACTCACGAGAGAACTCAGAAGTTTAACTAGGCAGTGGGAAAAACTGTCCATTGTTTGGATAAGGGATATTTTTTCAAGTATTTACAAAAATAAATGGTCTTTATTTGAAAAAAGTAAAGTACTGCTTTGGTATAGTTTCTATATATACAAAGTACAGGCATCATAAAATAGTATGGAAGGAAATACTATATTTCAAAGGATGATTTTTTTTAAAGATTCAGAAACTAAAAGTCAAGGCAGAAGTTTAGAAGAGATAGTTTAAAAGGTATGGACTTTAAAGGGGCATTTCTCACGTAAACTTACCCAGTGTTCTTGACATTACAGGCAGTGCGGAGCTCAAGACCAAGATGGACACACAATTCCCAATGATCTGTGTGGGGGTGGGAAAGGACATTGGGCAGTTAGACTGTAGGACGATAAACGCAATCAGTCCATTCACATTCGGGAACTTACTGCCGACACACTTTTACTGTGGTTAACTCCTTAACGGTATTAGTCAATACAGAATTTCAAGAGAATAAGAAATGTTTTCTACAAACACTGAAAGTTGTATGTCAGTTCTAGAAGATGTTTACAGCATCTGGCACAAGTAGAAAGTTAGAGAACACTTAATTACTTTATACCTCAGACAACTCATTTTACATTATTGATTGAGGTTGCCAATTTTGAAAAGCTTTGCCTGTCAACTAAAAAAGAATGAATACATTTAATATTTCTGACTATATTTTTAAAGCCAGACTACTGCTCAAGATATATAATTTGTTCAACTATTGTAAGATTTAATACCAAAAAGCTAGAAATCTAAAACCCCTGAAGTCTAGTGATTCATTCCCAATGTGCCCTATGCTTTCGCTTTCATACTGAATACAAGGAGCTGAAAATACTGATTAATACTGATGATCGCTTTAACTAGGTGCTAAGTATCTCAAGAAATCCTAGCATTCAATAGATAGGTAAATAAAGTACACAAAGTAACTTTTCCCTTTTGAGATAGGCTGGAAAATATGTGATATGTAATGAAAAGAAAAGGAATCAGCAGCCCTTACTAACTATAGTCATTCTCCAGTGTCAGCCTGTGGGAATATTTTTAAATGACGCGGTCACTCACTATATACGGTAACAGTCTTTGTTATTTCAAAACCAACGACACATTGTAGGAAGTCAAATTAGCCTCAGACTACAAAATGTTTCTGAATAGAATTCTTCTGTCTTGCTTTAATTATTCAAATTTGAAATACTTGGTCTCTACTACTTGTAGCAACTAAGTTCTTCAGATTTCAAACAAGCTCCCTGAAGTACAGTTTGCACAATCAAAGTTACTCATTAGCAATACGTTTTCTTTGGAGGAGAAAGAGTCCTTTCAGGAGCCTTCCGCAGCCAGTTAGCAAGCGCCGCAGGTCTGCGCATTTACAAGTGAATGGAAGCCGTCCAAATTCAACAGAAGAGCACATCCTTTTCCCACTCATTGAGCATTCTGAAAATCTTTCAGTTGGTGTTTATGCAATTTACAAACAAATACCTATCACTGCAAATGAACCATTCAGGGCGATTATGAAATAAAACAGTTCATTACCCCTGGGAGGCAAACGGGAGGCACAGCCACCTAAGACTTTACCTTTGTCATAGTTGTGTCATCCTTCTTGGGAATAAAGTTTCCAAAAAACCGGAGGCTATAGAAGCCGACGACAGAGGACACCATGAGATAGCTGTGAGAATCAAGGAAAAAACTCTCCAAAGTATGCAGGTTTCCTTAAGTTCTCAGTAGTCTTCAAAAAGTCTTAAGGCTCAAAGGAAAAACAACAAAAGCCACTTGGCCTGCTTGAGGAGGACAGACTTGTTTTTCCTTCTAGGCAAGTGTCTTAGTAAATTACCACTGTCCCAGAAAACTGGACAGAAAACTTGTTGACAGAATGTTGAGTTAAAGAAAGGATACAAAATCAAAATGATTTCAAGTGCAGCTCCCACAAAACCGAAGGCAGAGAGAGAAGCATTTCCTATCCCTGGGCCCTGTGGGGGGAAAAATCACTTTTCAGAATTCAATGACACTATATATTTGGTTTCCCTAAAAAGTATTTCATAAATGTAGGAATTAGGAATGCTTAGGGGAGCCTGGGTGGCTCAGTCGGTTAAGAGTCCGACTTCGGCTCGGGTTATGATCTCACGGTTTGTGGGTTCAAGCCCCGCGTCGGGCTCTGTGCTGACAGCTCTGAGCCTGGAATCTGGTTCAGATTCTGTGTCTCCCTCTCTCTCTGTCCCTCCCCCATTCATGCTCTGTTTCTCTCTGTCTCAATTATAAATAAACATCAAAAACATTTTTTTAAAAAAAGGAATGTTTAACACTCTGGAAATCACATCTACATTTTTAAAGGACAATGAAATATGACATTAGACTGAGTTCATCAACTAATTCAAGCACACATTAACGATTTTAACAAACTCAAAACATCTCCAAACTATCTCATGTGTAATTTACTTATTAAAATGATATTATACTTACTGTTAGGTCCTGAATATTACTGGAAGAAACTTTTTAAACAGTACCGTAGGAATAAATATATAATTATTTAAATGAACTCTAAGACAACATATAAAAATTATACAATTAAAACACGTCAAAGTAAGCTGAGCATGGAAAGTGAAAGTCCATACCCTATTTCCACACTTGAAAGTTCTCTTTCCCCAAATCTTCCTTAGGAATTCAGACATTTTTTAAAAATGTAACTTAATTAATACAGATTTTTAAAAAATGTAATGCTATGCATTTTTTTCCTAAACATTACACCTATTTTCAAAACCTATCTTTATCTAGAACTTAAAAAACAAAGAGAAAAACTAGTATTTATTAGTGAGACCAGACAGGCAAAAAAAATGATTTCTTACTAAAGTAGGAACATTTTCAAAGTTGACCAATTAAAGGAACTATTCTAATACGAACTACTATTTTACTATCAGCTTTAATGATATCGAACAGAAATACCAGGAAAATTAAGAATGTACAGTCAGGCTAATAAAAAATAAACCAATAAAGTGGCGCCTGGGTGACTTAGTTGGTTAAGCGTCTGACTTCAGCTCAGGTCATGATATCACGTTCATGAGTTCAAGCCCCATGCCAGGATCTGTGCTGACAGCTCAGAGCCTGAAGCCTGCTTCAGATGCTGCATCTCCCTTCCTCTCCCTCTCTCCCTCTCTCCCTCTCTCTCTCATTCTCTGCCCCTCCCCCTCCCATGCTCTCTCTCTCTCTCTCTCTCAAAAATAAACATTTTAAAAATTAATAAATAAACGAATAAACAATATCAGACGTATCATATATACATTCTAATTTTGGCCTAAAGAAGTAAGAATACCCATGGTAATTTCATATACTTAAATAAGGCGAAGAACTTCTCAACTTTTTCCTCAATCTTTTGAAAAAGAAATGAATAATGCTAATAATAGGACGCTTGTTGGCTGGGCTGAAACACATGTGGAAATATTCCCTGTCTCAAGAGAAGGCCTACGGGCAGGATTACGATGATGTGATTCGTTTGTACAATCACCCGTGGACTCTACCAGGGGAAAGTGCCTCTCGACGACACACTAAGGGACGGTACGGAAGCGTACCATGGGGGCTTGGGACTTACACGGTGTATTTGTCAGAAGCCAACACAGTGGGTGACTTCCTGCTCTATCAGTGGATTTGGGCCTAATCAAAAGCTAAACACCCGGCTGTAGACGAAGGAGGATGCTCAGTGTGCTGTCGTCTGCTTGTGCAGCGAGGTGCCGGAGCACGTGGGCAGGCTAGACACCAGGCAGTGACGGAGGGCACAGGTCCAGCGGAAGTCAGAGGAGGGCAGGACCTAAATGGAGACCATGGCTGAAAACATTAGCTTCGAAAGAGCCGGTGTCTCCGTCTTAAACTCAAGGGAGGAAATTTAGGTTGATGTTGGCTTTTTTCTACGAAAAGAAAAGTGTATCACCTGGTTCACAGGGAGAGGTGGCACCAAAGTCTCAGAGTCTGGGAGTCCTTTCTACGGGGGGGAATGGGGAAGCGACTGACTTGGAAAAAACATTAGAAAATGTTACAACAGGGGCGCCTGGGTGGCTTAGTCGGCTAAGCGTCCGACTTTCGCTTAGGTCATGAACTCGCAGTTCGTGGGTTCGAGCCCTGCGTCGGGCTCTGTGCTGACTGCCAGCTCGGAGCCTGGAGCCTGTTTCAGTCTGTGACTCCCTCTCTCTCTGACCCTCCCCTGCTCATGCTGTCTCTCTCTCTCCTAGAAATAAATAAAAAAATTTAAAAAAAAAAAAAAAAGAAAATGTTACAACATAAATACGATCTTAGGGAATCAAGAGTGTACAGAGACACCTAGAAGTATGCCAGATAGGAATCTGTAGCGATAACTTCCTTCCATACAGAGAACGTATGCAAACAGGCTAAAGGACGGAATGTGATAGAACTGTCAACTTTTAAACAAGAGAGAAAACAAAGTTAATTCACAAAAAGATGTACATCTGACTGTCTTCCAGTAACTAAGTACTCGACTCGGTTTCATAAGATGTGTGATTCTTTTGAAGCATGAGTCCCTACCAAGCATGCATTTGGATCTTCTGTAAACACAATGACTTGATCTCATAAACTCCTCCGATGCCACTATTTCACAGAGTACACAATTTCTTACAGAATTAAAAGTAATAACTTCAGTTAAAAAAATAATAAACTGCAATACAAGCCTAAAAGAAGACTCTGCTGTTTGATAAAAGGGCTGGCCAACCCAAAGTAGGAAATTAGAAACAAAGTCACCGTTTATAAACACCGCTGATGAAGGCTGCTTAGTAAAGAACTTCATACAAGCCGAGATGGACTTGCAGAAAGGCGAACGCTGTAAACTGCTGATTTTAAAAGGCTCAGGGTACGTACGCAGAGCACGGGTGCTAACGAAAAGACACTGAGACCACTTTACCCTCGTCCCCTTGGGCATGGCTGTCTCGTCAACCAGCAGGCAAAGGATGTTACAAGCCACCAGGAGGACCGAGATGAACTGCAAGAGAAACACGGGCGTCAGGTCAGCTTCCAAGGTACTTCGTGAATGTACGTGCGTGGGATCTAAGTGCTGACCGAATACATGCTTCAGGACAGCGGAAAGCAGTCAAGACCACAAGTCTACGTACAAACAAGCTGCGAGGAATCAAACCCACTGCAAAGGCTCCAGAATAGACTCTAACAAAAGCCTCTGCAAATTATTACAATTTCAGAGCTTGTGATGAAAGCTAGTAACACAGATGCAGTTGCCACCTGATCTCAGCAGTTGGCAACCCACCACTCATCGTTACAACATTATCAGAACTACTTGAGAAATGGAATTTTCCTCCTATCAGAGTTTGAAGCAGGGGGAATCTGCAGCACCTCGTCTCTTCATTCTAAGTGACACAAAAGAATGAATTTCCTGCTTTCATGAGGAAACAGTTAATCTTGAGGACTTTTTAAAATCTGCCATTAATTTCCATTTTTACTCTGTTGAGTTTTTCCAAATAAAGGTATAGATGGATTTTAATCCTGTTGATAGAAAACCAGTTTACTAGAAACCATTTAGCTGAGGGAGTTGCCAGACTCAAAAACCAAAGTAAACGACACATAATTTGCTTTATTTAAGTAGGCAAATAAGCGCTTACTGTCTCGATGAGGAGGAGGACCATGACAGCGGGGTACACCAAATTTCTTTCCCACGCTGAAGCCTTCTTCCGCCTCTCTGTTAGAAAACAACAGCAAAATACAACAGAAGATTTCCAAAAGTTCTCTCATTCCAAAAGACTCATTTTTTCATTCCTTACTGCTATCACCAGTATGTATTATTTTTATATAATTTCTGTTTCAGAAACATACATTTTTAGTTTTCCTCTACAAACTGTAAAAATTAGAGTTTTAAAATCACTTTGCTACATGAAGTAGCTGGGTCCTGTGTGCTGGCCCTTTAGCTCTGCAAGGGCATTTCCGCGGCTAATGAAACATCCTGTTCATACACAGCTTACTATGAAAATATAGAAATGTTTGTATTTGATACAGATTTACACAATGATACAGATTTGAGTGAGTAAAGGAACCTGAGGAAAAATCCCCTCTAATCCAAAGGTCAATTCCTCCAGTTTTCCAAAGGCTGGAAGCAAGTTTCCGACTACAACGATCTACCTCGTATCACACCATTCCTCGTGCCAGGAACACATCAAACTTAACTAAGAAAACAAACCTGCATGAAGGAGTCACAGAGCCACCACGACAAAACCGTGAGGTGAATATTCTGTGAAATGGATCGACACGAGCCCTCACGTCGGCACTGCCTTTCCCTGCGCTGCTGGACTTTTCCAGCATATAACTGGCTCGCCCCGCGAGGCTGAGAAATCAGGCAGCCATCAGTAGGTAAAAGAAAATGATGCTAAAGCAATGCTTTCTGCAAACTCAACAAGGTCAGGAAAACACGACTTGGAGGCTGGGGCTACCAAGGCAGCCAGAGTCTGAGAGGCTGTGAGCAGAGAAAAGGAAGGAGAAAAGAAGAAGAGAGCCTAACATTCAGCCTCTTGCCCTTCAAGGCACCAGTGGCTGAGAGGGTGACGGGAGAGGCTGAGAGGGAGGCAGGGAGAGACTGAGAGGGTGACAGGGAGGCTGAGAGGGCGACGGGAGAGGCTGGGAGGGCGACGGGAAGGTACAGTAAAGAAGAAGAGCAAAGCTTCTGTCAGGTTCATGTTTCTTGAGATAAAAACTAAAGTTCAGGGTTCATTAAGAAGATGGTATCACGGGTGCCTGGGTGGCTCAGTCGGTTGAGTGTCTGACTTTGGCTCAGGTCATGATCTAGAGGTTCATGAGTTCAAGTCCTGTGTCAGGGTCTCGCTGACAGCTCAGAGTCTGGAACCTGCTTCGGAATCTGTGTCTCCCCCTCTCTCTGCCCCTCCCCTGCTCACGCTGTCTCTGTCTCTCAAAAAGAAACGAAGCAGAAGAAAAAAGAAGGGAGGAGGAGGAGAAGAAGGAGGAGGAAGAGGAGGAGAAGGAGGAGAAAGAGGAGGAGAAGGGGGGAGGAGGGGGAGGGGGAGGGGGAGGAGGGGG